CTCTCCTCTCTCAAGTGTGGGAGGTGTTGTGATTTATGTGTGTTTGAGGGAGCCATGCATTCCACAGGTTACATATGGAGGTTAGAGGATGACCTCGGGTGATGGCCCTCACCTTCTACCGTGTTGGAGACATATTCTCCTGTTGTTCACCATTAGGTGAGGCATGCTAGTTGTTCCTGGAAGATTCTGATCTCTCTATCTCCCATCTCACCACAGGATTATAGAATTATAACTGCATGTGCTACCATGTTCAGCTTTAGGTAGTTTCTGGGGATGGAATCTCAGGACTTCTCACTGTTGCTTCAAACATTTCACTCCATGAGACATTTCCCAGCCCTTGGGTTGGACACACTATAAAACAAGTCTACTCTATGCTAGAAAGGATCTTTTTGGCCACATTATTCACTCACTTGATTAGAATTTTTTTATCTCTGAAATCATCAAAGTCATGACCAAGACAAATAGAATAACAGAGAGATTTTTTTTTAAATGCCACTAGCCTGGCAGAAACATGACACATAAATCATGGGTTTTACTGTATTTGCAATTAAACAATCAAATTTAGTGTCCACTGGAAAGCCTTAGCAACTAGTATAAAGATTAATATAGTGAAGCATCTTTACTGTAGAAGGTCTCCCAAACAAAACCGGAATAAAAAAAAGTTTGGTATATAATTGAATAGCATGTTAAGTATTAATGCACAGAATCTTCTGAGTCCCCAGGTCCCTGATGCAATTATTTTCTATTCACATTAATTGTTCCAAGCAGATGACGCTAATAACTTTCAGTTAAAATGTGTCCAAAGGAAGATTTCCTAAGATCAGTATCATTTAGATATAAGGTCACTTTTGTAATTATTCACTTAGATTTTTAGCCATGCCTGAACATAATAAAATTAACCTTGTGACTATTTTCACTTTTTTAATGAGAGTATCAAAAGTTAATGTTCACACTAGCCAGAAAATGTATTAGTGTATAGATGGTTTTCTATTACTTATCAATATGCCAACTAGTATATCTATGGTATATGTCTTAGTTCCTGTGAAAGTCAGAGATCAACCTTGAGGGGAACCTGCTACAGCAGATATGTCTTTCTGAGACACAGTCTCTGACTAGCCTGGAAATAATCAAGCAGACTAGGCTGGCTTGCCAAGAGGTCCAGTGTTCCTCCTGTCTCTGTGTTTCCATCTCTGTGGTTATAAGCATACACAATCATGTCTGTTTGTCTTTAAAAAACATTTATTTTAGTTTTTGAAATTATAATATAATTACATCATCATCCCCTTTCTTTTTCTCCATCCAAGCCTCCCATATACCCACTCTTTGCTCTCTGTCAAATAATAGACATTTTCATTAGTTGTTATTATATACATATGTTTATATATGTGAATGTGTGTGTGTGTTCCTAAATATATCAGTCTGTTTAATGTTACTTTATGTACATTTTTGAGCTGACCACTTGGTAGTGGGTCATCAATTGGTATGTTCTTCCCTAGTAAAGACTATTTTATGAGTCTTGAAGATCAAACACAGGTTTCCACGTTTGCATGGCAGTACTTTACTAACCGAGCCATCTCCCCAACCCAGTGCACCTTTTTATTCTTCTTCTAAGACTTTTCCAAGACAAACTGTCAGATTGTAAAATTGTGAATGTTGTCAATAAAATGCAACTTGCAAATGCAAACACAGAGAGAGAGAGAACTCTGATAAGCTGGAACAGACATGCGTGGGTTCTGACATGTTTTCTCCTAATGGGAACTACCAAACTCTTATAAAGCTATTGGTCCCAAGTCAGATTTTGAAAGAAAGAAATAAAGTAATGCTACCCAACATCTCTTCTTGGTTTCACCTTAGAAACATCACTCACATATTGTGGCTCTCTCATCTGGCGATCTGATCTCAGACGCAGGAGGAAGCTAAAGTCTGACACTGTCACGGACAGATATTGAGCTGCGTGTGAGTCTCCCAGCTGTATTCATGGAATGGTGTTTAGGTCGTTTTCTTACTTCCATCAACTCTGATGTCACAAGCAAACCACAAGATATACCTCTGAAGCATCCTCAGGCAGAGAGCAACACCTTATTTTCTTGTGTTCTCTGAAATTCAATAACATGTTCCCCTGTTGATAGAGTAAGCAGGAAGTGTCACTCTCTGCAAAAGTATTGTAAATCTTGGCTTTGTCCCCAAGATAGCTTTTTGAGTATTGATTACACATCAGAGTCTCTGAGTAATGGTCAAGGGGCTTTGTATTAAAGCCTATGTCTCATATTATCTCTTCTACTCTTATGATATATTATATATGAACTTTTAAAAATTCATGAATTCTACATTTTCCTCCTGTAGTTTGGTTTAGCTTTGTGCTTGTTTGGTAAAACTATAACCATGACAGCTTTTAACTCTCATAGGCTTAAAAAGAGTTACTTGGAAAAAAATCACAACAGCCGTATAAATGCATAATGAAAAATATTACTCTTAAAAATAGCAGGAGCAAGTCATGGAAAACTAGACTTCTATCTTGCTATATAATTTTGTCAGTTGCAGATAATATATTCCATATCTGATATAAATATTCTTGTTAAATTGGAATGACATTTCAGTAAAATACTGTCATTTTCTACATCTGCAAAGACTTCACAGCCCCTGATCTATACTGTGACCTTAAGATTATGAATCTTGAAAATTTGTAGTTTTTATTAAAGAAACTCTTGGCTTCAGTCTCTGTGTTTCTATATAGCATTAAACTGAAACTGTAGTTTTTATTTTGCATTTCTCATAATATGAATATCACAAAACATGAACCATTCAAGTTGGTAATCTAGAACAGAATGTAAAAGAGACATTTGTAGCAGAGCAAGGTATGGATTTTTACCAATTAAATGGATGTAAATAAGATAATGTTGGAAGGGAAACCAATATGCACTTTCCACAATGATGGTATTTAATAACCATCACCATATGTTTCCATTGACATCTGTGACTAGTAGGATGCATTGTATTTGTGGTTCTCTGGTTAGTTGACTCCCTATGTTGCCCTTTATTGGACACTGTAACATTATGGCTAAGATTTTGGCTTGGAATCTTACTTACTTGTCTTGTTGCTGTCACCAAATAACCAACATGGCAACTTACGGGCAAGATGACTCTTTTGGGCTCACAGTTCCTAGGGATGCAGTCTATCATGGTAGAAGGCATCACTGCATGTTCAGTAGACAAGGTGGGTACATTGCATCCACAACCAGGAGGTAGAGATCAGAGAGGAAATGGGACTGGTATATGAAATATGTGCATAGCAGGGGATAGCTTACTCATAGCCGTAGAAAGGAAGATGAAGAAAGCTGTCTACCTGAATGTGTTTCCAGAAGCTTCTATTAGTTGTCTCTAGGAATACCATGTAACCAGTTTGGGTTACTGTCTAATAAAGCTATCTCAGAACTTATGTGCAAAGTATCAGATACTGGTGGTATCCTAAGAGATGTAAAATAAGGTTATTTGATGAGGAGGTTCTATAAATTTACAGTTTAGTTGAAGTGCCTCAATGTGTGTGTGTGTGTGTGTGTGTGTGTGTGTGTGTGTGTGTGTGCAGCAGCACCTAGAAATTCTCAAGACCACCATATTATTGGGGATTGAGCAGTCGCTATAATTACCTGATATAGCAAGTATCTCAGTGACCTCTACTGATCAAAAAGAGATCGGGGTACAGAGGGATTTTGGGGGTAATTTTCCTCTCCAAATCAAAGAACTAGGATGTAGAGGAGCAGGGATTCAAGCCTCATAAATAGCCTCAAAAGTCATGTGCTTGAGTATAGATCAGCTATTAACCAGGACAGGTAATTATTAGTGGATAACAACAAACATAGAGGAGAGCTGGCTGTATAGCATGGCAGTAGAATTCTAGTCAGCATGCTTTTTAAATTCAGTAGGGCAAGGTTGGAGTTTCCCAAATGGATGACTGGCTCTACCAGCCTACAGCTATGTTCTGTGGCCTCTCCACCTCAGCAGTGCTAGAGATGAAGGCAGGTCCATAGAAATAAAACTGATACAGAATTACCTTTCAGAAGAACTTTAGTAGGAAGCATATAGGCTCACAGCCATAGGCATGAAATTGGAGAACAGTAGGAAATAGTTGAAGTGTGCTAGAATCCTGAAGAGAGAGCCTTCATTCCCTTCCATTTCCAGAGTATTAAGAAAGATATGGCATCATAGAACAGACAGTAGAATGGAGTCTTGAAGGGAGAGAGCCTTCAATTTTATAAGACAAGGGGAATTTCCAGTTTTTATAAATTTTATTGCACACATTGGAAGTGCTATGGCAGAAGTACTAGATGAGAGACTTCAATTGAACAAGATCCGCCATCTGATTTTTATGCACATAAATAACATGTCTTAATACACTTCTTTGTTTAATCTCTCCCATTACATAGGCTGACTTTCCCCACCTCCCTCAAGTGTCTTATACAGTATCTCTCTTGGCACTCAAGGTCAACTCCAAGGAAGAGCCAGCAGTTCTTTCTCAAATCTACCCATCTCCTACATTCTAATTTCTTGTCACTTTAATCCATCCTCTAAAGGATGTATGCACATGGATAATGCCTGAGAAAAAATGGCTTCTGCTTTCTCAACCATAGGTATTGAATTGAGTTATACAAACAGATGTGGTTTTGCTAGACAGAGTATGTGGAGAGAGATGAGCAAGACAGAGGGAATCACATCTAAACTGTGGTTTCCTGGGAGTAGAAGAAGAAAAAGTCACCAGAAGCCATGCAGAGAATGGAAAGCCATTGGAGGTGTTTAACTCTACATCACATGGCAAGATGCAGGCACAGTTGCTTTCTGGAGAGTTGGTGAAATCTCTCAGAGCAAAAGCTATTCTATTTAACAAGTGCCACCAGATAAATCCCATAACAAAACATAAAAGACTAGGCTAGAGACCATTTAAAGCATTAAAGTAAAAGTAGAAGCTAATGGGATGTTTCTGGAAGTTTATATAGGTATGAATTCTACATGTCTGTGCTAACAGAGGCATTGATAACCAGGTTATCTTGCAAGATGGAGCCAAAGAGGGTTAAAAAGATGTAGTTTAGTCGGTAGAGTTCTAATACACAAAGCCCTGGGTTCCATCTCCAACACCATATAAACTGAGCATGGGAGTGCATGCCTTTAAGCCTAAGCAACTAGAGGTGGGAAGATCAGAAGTTCAAAGTCACCTTTGGTTTTGTGGTTTAGATGTGAAGTGCCCCCCACCAATAGGCTTGCATGTTTGAACAATTGGTTCCCAGCCCATGCCACTGTTTTAGAAGGTTCTGGAATACTTAAGAGGTAGAATCTCAATGGAGGAAGGTGGTCACTAGGGGACTAGCCTACACCCACTCAAATTTATTCATTGCTGCTTGAGTATGAAAACATGACCAGCCAGCTTTTTACTGACCCCCACCCCCTCACTCACCATCTTCCCTGCCATGATGGACTCGGAAACTCTCAGCCAAAATAAACCATTTACCTTATACGTCGCTTTTGTCAGAGTACTTTGTCACAACAGAACGTAATTGAGAAACTTGGCTACATAATGAGTTCAAGGCCAGCCATCAAGGATTGGATGAAACCCTGTCTGAAGAAAAGAAAGTGAGTAGAGCTGTTGGCTGGCTAGAGATACCAATAAAGAAGCAAGTATAGACTTACTTTAATTAAGTTATATCTAACAGTATATAAGGGCATCATTGGTAGATAGTGCTGAAAACCAGATATTAAGACAAGTTTTGCCTGTCATGATTCCTAGTCCCAAATATCAGCAGGGATAAATAGAATATGAAAAAATTCTTGGCATTTTTTTAACAAACACAGAAAGAGATCACTATGCAGCAAAAATAAAGTATCTATAGCAAGGCAGATGAAATGATTGAGTGTTATAGTTATTGATTAGCAAGAAAATTAAATGTGGCCTCTGTACTCTATGAGAGTTTAAGGTTTACCACACACACTCTCCCATCATGGCTGTCTGCTGGGGCGGGGTGGGTTAGGGGCAGGTTGGGGTGTTTCTCACCATCATTTAGAATTGCATTTGCAGGACAATGATAAGTACTCAAGTACTAATGGCACCCATTAAATGTCAATAAATTGCATAAGTAAGAGGCATCACACCTCTGCAAGTGACACCAAGACAGATGGCTCCTGACTGGAGAGCTTTGGAGACAAGGCTTTCTAAAGATAGGCCAGAATTAGACGGTAACAGAGAGCTCCTGGTCCAGATCAGGATGCTAAATTAATTTAGCCTGTTCAGTCTGCGGAGCTTCATCTGTTACACCTGCAAGGTGGCTGTCGAGATGCACATGGGTCTTTACCCTTCTGCGTGAACTCCACATCTGTGAGGTATGGGGCCAGCCATTAGCATTCCCACAGCCAACCAGACATGAAAAGTCCTCTAATGGAGATACGTGACACCCAAGCTTTGTGCCTGCCTGCCACATGTGGTACCTTGCAAGTCTGCACAGATAAACTGAAGTGTATGTGATAGCTGACACAGAATAACCTTCTCACTTGAGGGAAACCTAGGAGTGATATTGCCCACTCTACAAATGAGGCCACTGGGAGAAATAAACACAAGAACTCGATTTTGTAGCAGTATAGAACCTGATTTGTACCATTAAGCTAAAGCTTAATGCTGGTGCTCTTGAGTCCTATAGCCAAGAATGTGTCTTCTTCCATCCTGAGCATTTGGGGTGTGTTATTGTTGTTTCATTTTGTTCTGCAGAGCTGGATCTCATGTAGGGTAGTAAAATATTCTCCCACTAGCTATACTCCCTGCACCTGGGTCTTGCTTTGATATTGATTTGATCTCTTAGAGTATAGCTGGATACAATGAGAACCCACTGTTGTGATAACAATGGTAGCTTGAGATAAGCTGAACACCCTCTGTAGATAAGACACTAAGTATATATGCTTCATGTCTAGAACTCACATCACTCTGGCGCTAGAAGTTTACCCCTGACCTCTGCAATTCATTTGAAAGGGAAAATATAGCTAGCAAAACTAAACAACGCCTTGGAGCCACACAGTGTGCTAAGAAGCGGGAGGGCTTGGCATGGGACACGACTTAGCTCAGTAGTTAAAATACTTGCCTCCCAAACTTGAAGACCTGGGTTTGAGCTGTAAAACTCAAATTAGAAACAAGTCCCTGGAGCTCATTTGCCAGAAAGTGTTGTCTACTTAGTAAGTTCTAGGCCAGTGAGACATTCTTTAAACAAGTCTCCCAAGGAATGACACCCTGAGGTTATCCTTTGGTCTCCACATGCTTGAGCTTGTATGTTCACATAACCCTCCCCACATAGCCCCCCAAGCACATGCACACATGTGCACACACACACATGCGCGTGCACACACACATACACACAACTGAGACTAAGACTTGTGTAGTTCCTAAACCTGAGCTTCTAATCACTTACTCTAAGATCATTGGGTGTTTACTTCTAAAACCAATACTTTGCTGAGCCCTGTCCTGTTTTTACAGGAGCACCTCCAGAATGCAAAATCCGGAACCCCTGCCTTGAAACACTCTGGCTCAGGGGTTGTCATCCCTGATCACCTCTGTCCTCGAAACAGCTGCAGCAGTGGCAGCGAGCTATCACTGTCAAGCACCTGCAGCGAGTACTCCAGTGGCTCCTCCTGCACGTGGCAAGACAGGAAGATCATTGGGAAAAGGGTAAGGGTTCTGTCAGGCAAGTCAGCTTCAGAGAGAGCAGGAAGAAAATCCTGTGCCTGCTGGAATTTTGTCATGGAGGCAGAGTGGGTGGCGGTAAGGAAATGAACATTCAGTGACTGTTTGCCCATTGACTGTGGAGGCTGCCACTGATCAGCACAGTGGGCTCATAAAACACAAAACATGATGGGGCTGTGCATCCCATAACTACAGAACAGACAGATAAATTACTGGGACAGGATGTCGGGAGCAAGGTTTGATGAAAGGAGGGGCTGTGCTTCCTTATGTAACAGGAATGTCTTCTCTGCTTCCTGTTTTACTTTATTACTCTGTTTTATTTGTGTATATGTATATACATATATATGTATGCATACACATATGTGCATGTAAACATACATATGTATGTGTATTGGGGCCTATGGAATCTAAAAGTCGGCCTCTGCTGCTGTTTCTCAGGACCTGTCCATGTTGTTTGAGACACACTCTGTGTCTGGCTTGAATCTTGAATTTATCAGTTTCGCTAGTGAGCCCCAGGGTTCCTGCTTCTGCCTCTTTGGCACTGAAACTTCATACCCAGCTTTTGGGGGCAGGTTCTGGGGATCTGATACCAGGTTCTTATTCTTGTATGACAAGCACTTTACTGACCAAGCCATCAGCCTAGCCCCTTATCAGGGTGTGGGGCAATTACTCCTGCAAGACCCCACACCCTCACCTGTACAGAGCTTACCAAGCTGCAGGAACCTATGAGTGAGCTTTTTTGCATATTGGAACAAGCCAAGTATTTTGAAGTAGCTACTTTAGCAGTTCCCCAAAGTTATAGGAAAGCAAAGTTCACCAGGATGGAAACTGCAAGTCAGAGTATTCAGAGCTGACTTTTCTATTTGGATGAAATTCATCCATGGTTATCAGTACTTTAGAAACCAAGAAAACTCCAGAACTTATAGACCTTACTGGTGAGGGAGTAGCTTTGTCACCTGCTGAACCAGATTTCTGAAAAAGATTTCCAGCTTGCATTTTGAGGCTATTCCTATAGACTCAGGCTTCTAATGCAAAGCAGAGAGCTGGCTGCATTTATCTAAATTGTACCCATAAGGAGGAGTTCTGAGCTCTGAATAATTCCTGGCCGAGGGAATGATGGGACAATGTCAGGGTGGTTTTTCTTATCTCACTGTGTTCCTGAAAGTTATTTGCCCCCATGATGCCCTTCTATTCTCCATTTGTCTTTTTAAAGATATATTTTTATGTATGTGCATGAGTGTGGACGTGTACACTTTGAAACAAGTAGCCACAGAGGCTGGAGGAGGGCATTAGAGCCCTTAGAATGAGAATCATGGGTGGTTGTGATCATGCTCCTCGAGAAGTTAAACTTGGGTTCTCTAAAAGAGCTAAGCCCTGTCGTACACCTGTCTTCTACTTTATTTTCTTTCTGCTTCCCCCTTTCTCTCCAATGGCCTTTTTTTCTTCCTTCATTTTTTTATTTGTGTGTACGTGAGGGTACACATGTGTATGCAGGTACATGCCTATGTATGAATGTTTCTCTGTATGTCAAAGGATAACCTTAGGTTGTTCACTGGGGGCCTTCTACCCTCTTTCTTTCTTCCTTTCTTTCTTTGCTTTGTTTTCAGTCGGAATCTCTCATTGATCTAGAACTCTCAGAGCAAACTAGGCTGGCTGGCCAGCAAGCCCCAAGAATCTATTTGTATCTGCCTGGACAGCACTAGAATTAGAAGTGCCCACTAGTATGCCCAGCTTTTTTATTTCGGTTCTAGGGATCAAATTTGGGTTCTTATGGTTGCATGACAAGAACCTTACCCACCATCTGGACATTCTACCTATATATCTAAAAAAAAAAAAAAAACAAAAAACAAAAAAAACTCGTGAGCATTGTTCTAATAGGGGCAGTGTTTGATGTACTAAGGCAGTGTCTCCCTTGAAGGAGAAAAAGGAAAGAAAAAAGAAAAAACTCCTAAGACCTTTTAGGAACACTCCTTAGATGGCCACCCAGTGATAATCCAAGTGTCCTTGTGACAGTTTACAGCCTGTGACAGATAACAAAGTATACTTTTAGTTCTCAGAGTCCTAGTAAGTTATATCTTAACCCTCAAGACATTTTAAAGTTATATTCCTTCTGCTGTTTATGTCTGGCATCAGGTGTTTTATTTAGTATTGACTTACATAATAAATCACAGGATTCTGAATAGGAACACATTGCTACATTATATAATAATAAATGTGTGAGTAACAGCGTCTTTGAGCCCACAACTATTTTTAAAATATCATTTGTTGCAGAAACAGAAAGAAAAGCATGTATAAAATTCACTAGCCTTTCTCAATAGGGAAATCTGGTTCTAGTAGATTCAGTTACTCTCATATGTGGTCTACTCTTAAAAGTACTACACAAATATTAACTCATTTAATGCTTATATTGAAGGACCTGTTTTCCTCAGCTATGTATATATTCATATATACATGCTCTGTACAGACATGTGCAGATGTCTCTCTCTCTCTCTCTCTCTCTCTCTCTCTCTCTCTCTCTCTCTCTCCCTCTGTGTGTGTGTGTATGTATGTATGCGTGTGTGTATGCATGTGTGTGTGTGTGTGTGTGTGTGTGTGTGTGTGTGTGTGCATATAGAGGCCAGAAGCCAACCTCAGTTATAATTTCTTTGACATCATCTACCACGTTCTTTTGACACAGTCTCTCACTGAACCTGGAATTCACCAGTTCAGCTTGGCTGACTGCCTGCAGCAAGCCCCAGGGATATGCCTGGCTCTGCCTCACCTGTATTGGAATTATAAGCACACGTCTCCATGCCTGGTATTTTAAAAAGTGGATTCTGGGTATCAATCTCCGGTCCTCATGTTTTCATGTAAGCTCTTTACTGACAGAGCTGTTGTCCAGCCCCAACTCTCCTCAATTTTTAGCTAAGAAAACCAAGGTTCTGGGGATTTAAATATATGTCCTAAGAACATGGCAGTACATGGTAAAACTAGGCATTTAGTTCTAGAACCGTTATTATTGATGGTTCTGTTATCCTGGCCTTGCTGACTTATCCTTACTTATAGAAGTTGTTAGCCTTGATTTATTCCCATGAATACCAACAGTTCCTTAAATAAAATGTAGTATTTTCCTGACAAGAGATAGAAATGTTCTGAGAACACTAAACTGTGCCCCAGCTTATCAGACGCCTCCTTCAGACTTCTGTACTGCCCCCTAAGTACTCTATCATACTTTCTTGAACAAAGAATGTAACAGTTATAGGAAATGACCCCCCCTAGTGTCTATCCCATGAGGTTCTCATGTTCCCATGCCACCCCTGCCAACTTTCAAGACTGGTCCTCACTTGTCTCAACTCACCTATATAAGCTCCCATGAGAGACTCAGGGAGGGATGTGGCTTATCTCATCAGAAAATTCACAGCTTCTGACTTTATTGGTGTATTGAAATACAGCATGAACTGGCTGTGGCCAAGAAGAGGAGAGGTGGGTGGCAGGAGCTGAGTTTACCTGTTGTGGGTTAAATAGATTTGTCACATAGCTCTTGGAGGGCCCAGTTTCCTGGCTTCTCATCTCTGTGGTCATTGAGACTCCCAAGACCATGAGAAATCTTAAAAACACACACCAAGGAAGCCCATTCTTTGTTCTATCTAGAATAGCCAGACTTTGGGATGAGATTTCTTCTCTATTTCCAGAGGAGCTTTGAATGATGGCAATTTCCTAAAAGAACTCCAAAAGGAAACTCCAAGAGGAAAAGGGTAGTGTCAGCAAATCACATCTGTCCCAGCAGCTCCAGACACTGGAGGGTTTTCTGAAGAAAATAAATAATTGGACGTCAAGACAAATAAATGTGTGTGCTGGAGATAGCAAGAGTAAATTTCATGAAAATGGCTTAGATATAATCCAATGTCCATAACTTACAAAACAGTCCAGTTTCTGATGGAAGTTGCTAATCCTTTTTAATGTCTGCATTTAGTTCATATTCAGATACTTCGACAGGGGCTAGCTGCCATAGTGACCCTCTGAAACTGCCATATTTGTTCCTAAAGTCAGTCACCATTAGTAATTTTGAAAAGGTCTTGAACAGGGTTGGAGAGATAGCTTAGTGATGGAGTGTGATGGAGTGCAGAAGACCTGGTTCCCATAAGCCACATTGTGCAGCTCACAACCACCTGTATCTCTAGCTCTAAGGACACTAACACCTGCTTTCAGCCTCTATGAGCACATGTAATGGTGTGCACACAGCTACACATGGATATATGCATGCACAAAGACACATACATATATACATACATACATTCATTCATACATACATCTGATTAAAAAGAAAATAATTTTTCAAGTTGGTCAGCTCATCATTGTTCCAGTATGCTAGTTTCTTATTCAAAGTATGAAATGCCACTGCCAAGAAAACCTGTGGGTTTTGTTTAACACCAGATCTTTCAGACAGAAATGAGACTAGAAGTTAAGATTGATATAGCAGTACAGCACCAAATTTAAGAGTGTGGACTCCAGATCATATCCTGAGCCATGTTAGAGCAGTGGTGGAACCACGACACTCGGAGGAGCTGAGGAACCACTGAACTAAGACCAGTGGAGGAACCACTGCAATAAGAAAAGCAGGATTTCAGGATCCCAGAGGAAGCTTGAGTCCCAGGAGATCCTCCTCCCAGGAGCTCAGGATCACAGGATAACTGAGACATCTGGACTCTGAGGAGTTCTGACACAAGCAAGATAACGGGAAAGACAGTCTCTAGTCAGAGACAGTGAGTACAGGTAGCACTAGAGTTAACCAGATGGTGAAAGGAAAGCACAAGAATATAAGCAACAGAAACCAAAGTTACCCGGCATCATCAGAACCCAATTCTCCAACCATAACAAGTCCTGGACACCCCATCACACTGGAAAAGCAGGAGTCAGATGTAAAGTCACTTCTCATGAGGATGATAGAGGACTTTAAGAAGGACATAAACAACTCCCTTTAAAAAATACAGGAAAACACAGGTAAA